CGTAGTTCAGATCTTAGTGGGCGATGCAGCAGGAGGGAGTGCGTGATGCGTGCCGGGCTGTTCTGCGAGGGCATGGAGGAGGAGGAGGCTTGTCAGCAGGCAGAGGCGAAGAGCCGTCTCTCACCTGTCCATAACCACCTCTTCCCTTGCAGGGCGGGTTTGCACGATGCTATGAAATGACAGATCTCTCCAGCAACAAAACCTATGCCGTGAAGGTCATTCCTCACAGCCGGGTGGCTAAACCCCACCAGCGGGAGAAGGTGGGTGCTGTGGGGGTGGTGGGGTGCTGGGCTGGTGGGGTGCTGTGGGACCCTGTGCTCAACTGGGACCGCTGCTCCCTTTCAGATCACCAATGAGATTGAGCTGCACCGGGACTTGCACCACAAGCACATCGTCAAGTTCTCCCACTACTTCGAGGACACAGAGAGCATCTACATCTTCCTGGAGCACTGCAGTCGGAAGGTGAGCGCTGCTGTGGCCTCCCTGCCAAAGGATCTCCTGAGCAGAGCTGTGGCTGGCTGGAGCAGGCCTGATCTGAGGTGCTTTGTTAGCACTCTCCCTATCCTGGGCTGCCTTGCCTGCTCTGTCACACCCTCTGACCTCAGCCATAACCAATGTGGTTTCTCACGGTGCTGGGGACACCGCTGCTTGTCTGTCCTACTTGGGCTGCCTGCTCATGTTGGCAGGTCGTAGCTCCTGGTGGGCCCACCATAAATCTGGTGGTTCCCCTGGCTGTGCTGAGCAGCCTCATGTACTGGGGAGACTGCTGAGGTCATGGCTGTGGAAGAAGGATTATTTGTGGATGCGCAGCTTCTGGAAGAACTGGCTTTGACGCTGCCTGCCCCTTGCTTGGTCAGCAGGGCTGCCTGTTCTCTTTGTCTGCCATCACCAAGCCACCTTCTTTCTCTCTGCAGTCCCTGGCCCACATCTGGAAGGCCCGCCATACTCTGCTGGAGCCCGAAGTGCGCTATTACCTCAAACAGATCATCTCAGGCTTGAAATACCTTCACCTCAAAGGCATCCTGCACAGAGACCTCAAGCTGGGTGAGTTCTGTGGTCAGGCAGGGTGTTCTGTGGGGAGCAAGCTGCCCCACAGGGACTTGCGGTGACGCGTCACCCTTAACTTGCAGGCAACTTCTTCATCAATGAAAACATGGAGCTGAAAGTGGGGGACTTTGGGCTAGCTGCTTGCCAGGATATCTCTGACCAGAAGAAAAAGTAAGTTTGAGGTTTTCTTATTCCAGAGTCCTCTGAGGTTTCACTCGTCCTCTTCCTCCTGCAGCTTCCTGGGAGGGCGGAGGGGTGAGTGGTGCCTCCTGGCCTGGGAAGGGGAAGCCGTAGGGCCCTGTCCCGGGGGGGGGGGGGCG